TGTGGTTGTAGGCCTCTCCATTTTAAGGAGAATTAAATGATCTGTGTGTGCCTTACTTTCTCCTCTGCCCAGGGCTTCAAGATCTTCAGTTTTCCCCCAAATTCTTCCTGCTCCTGGCTCACAGTGCCCTTTTCAAAGTTTTAAAGGAATACGAGAATGCATGTAGAGCCGGCTCTTAAAATTTTTTTTTTTTTTGAGGAAGATTAGGCCTGAGCTAAAGTCTGCTGCCAATCCTCCTCTTTCTTGCTGAGGAAGACTGGCCCTGAGCTAACATCTGTGCCCATCTTCCTCTATTTTATGTGGGACGCCTGCCCCAGCATGGCTTGACAAGCGGTACATAGGTCCGCACCTGGGATCTGAACGAGGGAACCCCGGGCCGTCGAAGCAGAATGTGTCAACTTAACCTCTGTGCCACTGGGCCGGCCCTTAAAATTCTTTTTTGGAAGGAAAGTTTTCCCCAACTGAAAAAGGAATGTTTCTAAGCAAATTGGAAAGTACATAAGTTAGAATAAAGCAGAAAGAAAAAGAAAAGAAAGCTCACATCATTGCACGCCCCTCACCCCACCCCCCACAGCAGTCCAACTGACGTTTCCTTCCGCACTATTTCTATGTAGTTTTTTACATAGTTCAGAGATATTTTTTACAATTTTGTATCGATTTCTTATTTAACATCTCTTCACTATTTTACTGTCATTAGAACTGTGCAAAAATCATTTAAAATGGTTGTACAGTAAATTATGTACGCAGTTTCCTTCACCAAACCCTTTCCCATTTAGGATGTATCCACTTTTTGACATCATGAATAATGCCAGGTGATTCTCTTTGCGTACACATCTTTGTTTGCATTTGAGGTTACTTCCTCAGGACAGAGTCCCAAAAGTGGGCATAACGTGGCACAGACTTGGAGCCAAAGTGTCATGGGTTCAACTCTCATTCCCCACTTACTGCCTGTGCAAGTTACTTAACCTCTCTGTGCCATCGATTCTGCATCTTTAAAATGTGATGGTAATAAAACTGACCTCAGAGTCCTGAAGAGCGCTAAATGAGTTAACATCCTGTGAAGTGCAATAAACAGTGGCTGACACAAAGGGAAGGGCTGTATAAGTGCTAAAAAAGGTAAATAAAAGGAAGTGAGCATTATTGAGGCTCTTGAGAGATGTCTTCATAAACAATGATGTACTCTCTGGCAGGAGGCTAGTGCTCTGATTTTTAGCCAAGTCTTTTGGCATAGATCCTAAGTCTTTAATATGGGGGCCAAGGACCAAGTTGACCAAGGGCCAAGGACCATGGTTTTAGAATTACGTTGACACTAACTTGCCTTTAACATGGAGAAATGTCCCAGGGTTGGGGTGGGGGTGGGGACTCTGAGCCCAAGGATACTTGTACTGGGTTTCCCCATTGTTGGCCTCTTAAGAAGTGGATTTCCCACGTCCTATAACTTCTCTGCTCCAGGGGCTGGGGAGGGGTGGGCTGGGAGGATTAAGGGCTTCCTTTGCAGCCCTGACCCAAGGGCCTCATGGGACAGCCCCAGGGTCTGTGGCCCACCAGACCGTCATCTGCTCCTTTCAGCAGGACCTCACTATATCCTTCAGCTACGGTGGGTGGTGATAACGATGGGCTGATCACCATGGTGATTGTGCTGATGGCAGATGCTCTTACGGGAACTGGGCTCGAATGTTCTCTAGTGCTGTCTAACAGAACTCTCTGTGATGATGGAAATAGCCTATGTCTGTGCTAACTAATACAGTAACCACTAGCTTCGTAGAGGTATTGAAATATGGCTAGTGTGACTAGAAACTAAATTGTAATTAATTAAATGAATTCATTTAAACAGCCCTGCGTGTCTAGGACTCTCATCTTGAACAGCAACAGCTCTACCTACATTACGGTCACTAGATTCTCGTTACAATCCTATGAAGTACTGATATCTCCGTTGTATGCACAAAATGAGGCTCAATGGGGCTAAGCTACTTGTATGAGCGACTCAGGTCTGACCTCCAAATCCACGCCTTTGACTCTGCGTTATCCTGCTGGTGTGTGACCCTCAGTATCAGCTTCTGGTGGGGGTAGAGAATGAGGACATGCACATCCTCTGGACATGTGGATGGAGTGACGTCATGACTTCTTAAGCCCTGCACCCCGCCACCTTCTGGCTGTTGCGATGATAGAAGATCTACATAAAGTGGCTCCAGCACCAATAAGAAAACCACTCCCAACCCTGATCTCTTGGGAGGTGTGCTCTTGGTTACATGGGCAGCCTGCTCATGCACTAACGGTGGTCACATCTTCCTGGGTGTTTGACTCTGCTCAGATCTCACTGGAGTGCACTGTGGCCAGGGCCATGTGGCATGTGTTCCTTGGCTGACAGCCATTTATTTTCACACTTTGCTGTGGGAAAGTGAAGTCAGAGAGTTCAGTCACGAAGGAGCATTTTGCACAGGTGAGAAACTTCAAACCAGTTGCCAATGGCTGCCAGCACTGGAGCCTTTAAAACTTGTCACCTGGGTGGCTTTCTTCAACTGTTTTCCTTTGTTTGAAGGCTTCTGCAGGCAGCAGACCAACAGTTTGTGGAATCTGCCTCAGGGCAAAAATGGCGTGAGTCCTAACCTTGCATTTCTATGTTTTACTGTCGGGAAATTCTTTTCCCATTTGTTTTCTGATGCAGTTGGGTACCGGGGATTTATTTAAGGGAGACATAAAAATCAATCTAGGGGGCCGGCCCCATGGCTGAGTGGTTAAGTTCGTGCGCTCTGCTTTGGCGGCCCAGGGTTTCGCTGGTTCGGATTCCGGGTGCGGACATGGCACCTATCAAGCCATGCTGAGGCGGCATCCCACATGCCACAACTAGAAGGACCCACAACTAAAAATACACAACTATGTACCGGGGGGCTTTGGAGAGAAAAAGGAAAAATAAATCTTTAAAAAAAAATCAATCTAGGGTTCATCTGAGGCACACGTTTAAGGATAGTTTCTGCTATCTTTGGCTATCTCTGACTAGTTATTTAACTTTTTTCTTGACTTCATATTTTAGTGAGATGTCATTTTATGTTCTCTGGAAACCTAGACTATTCTTCTTATGGAAAACAAACCATAAGAATGATAGTACTTTAGAAATAGCTCCCCCTTTTGAGACTGTAATCTCGGGTCACTGTGGGTTTTCTTTACAAGGCCATGACAGACATGGTCTTACTTTAAGGTGTGACAGTTTTATTGGCCAGAATGTGTGTGTCAGCTCCCCAAAGCTGGGCGGTTCTTAAGAATGGGGACAGAATGTTCTGCTTTCTCTGCAGGGACTCATAGTTTCTGGTGTAGAGGGAATTAATCAAGACATTCTTCTAGGTGCTGTAAATACAAAAGGTATAAGGCATAGCCCTGTCCTCACTAAGCTTAAAGGCTCATGCAGTGGCAGACGTGAGCAAAGTGGGCAAGTGTGTGCAGAACCAAGGAGGCAGCAGGATGATGGGGACCAGCATTCGCTTCAGTGTTCGGGAGCAGTGGGGATAGGTGGAAACCGGAGAACTGCGGGGGGCAAGCCCTGTTCAAGAGTAGTTGGGCGTCTGCCTAGAGATGAGAAACCGGACTTCCAAAATGCTGACAGATAGTTAAAACCACCAAAGAACAACGTGGATCATCATCTACCATGAAATAAAACACTTCTGTGGGCTGAAAACTGCCCCTGGGCTGCTAAGATCCAGTGGGGAAACTGAGGTAAAGAGGTGGTAATTTCCTGCAGGGCCTTGCATCCCCACAGATGGTCAGATTTCCAAACTGTCAGGGTGTCTTGGCTGTTTCTGCAGGCCCTGTACTCAGCTCACAGGAAGAAGTGTTTCAGAGTCTGTGGTCAGGGCACTGAGCTTGGGAACGACCCTGACCTTTCTCTGGAGGAAGATTTACCTGCAGGGAGAAGATGCCAACACTTTTCCTGGAAACAAAAGAGCGTAGTGATTTGAAGTGAGCTTTTCCAGGCTGAGGCGGAGTGCCCTCCGGGGCAGTAGCTGAGAGCATGGGTTTTGGGGTTGGAATTGATTGGATTGAAGCCCAGCTCTGCATTTACTAGCTCTGGGACTCTGGGCAAGTTGCTTAACTTCTCTGAGCCTCAGTTTCCTCATTTATACAATAAGAGCAAGAGGGGAGCTGTGAGGACTCCATGGGCCGCTGTATGTGGAGCGCTGGGAGCTGTGCCTGGCACATAGCCACAACTTTTATAGAGAGCTTACTGTTATTATTAATAGTAATATTTATGTAAATAGGGGATGAGACAGCCAGTCATCCTGATTACCAAAACAAAATGGTGTGTAAATGTGATGGATAATTATCTCCCTGAGCCAGGAGCAGGGCTTGGGACCCACACTGGGGAGAACAGGCGAGCAGCCGCCCACCCCTCACCTTCAGAAGGCTTCCCCCAGCTGACGGGGGTCCGGCCACAGATAAGGTGATTGCTTTGGGTCATCTGCTGACCCAGGCTCGAGGCTGCCAGCTCTCACAAAGTTTACACCAGCCCCCGATCTGGTGGGGAAGGCACCTGAGGAGGAAAAACTGAGCTTCTGACACACTTTTGATCAGAACTCGGCAAAGACTTGCCCTCTCTCTCCAAAGAGATCTCCCAACGCGCACAGGGGGCGCCACCTGAGGCCCCAGCACTGGGCACTGCTGGAGGGGAGAATGCCTTCTGCCTGCTGCCCTGGGAGTGTCCAGATACCAGGAAGGGAGAGGCAGCACTTCCTTCAGGGCTGGTGTTTTTCCGCAATGACCTGGTTACTAACAGAAACAAGCCCATCAGCCCCCCGGGGAGCCCTTGGTGTGTTTTAGTAAGAATGATAATCATGAATAATGACTGTGACTATCATCATCACTGTGCTTCGTATTTAGGGATGGGGAGGGCTGTTCGCTCTGCAGATGTGTGTGCCTCTCCAGGTGAGGCTCAGGGCACCCTGAGGGCCCTGCCCAGTCTCACGCAGCTGCACCTCATGAAGAAGAAAGCCCCACCCAGCACTGCTTACTGTGACAGGCTCTCCTGGTCCCCGATCTCTCTCGGGCTGATGCATATGACACCCTTAAGCATCATGGTTAAGAACTCAGCTTCAGGAGCCAGACACCTGGGTTTGAATGTAAGCTCTGCCACGTGACCTGGGCACAGCCTCTCCATACCTATCTCACAGGGTCATTATGAGGGTGACATGAGTCACATGGGGCGTGCTTGGAACAGTGCCTGGCATGAAACAAAAGCTCAAAAAATGCTAGCCTTTATGAACATTTAGTATTATTGACTGGTGCTATTAGGTTGGACCATATGAAATTGCTTTCAACCATTTTTGAACTATAAAAATGGCAACTTCATATAGATGCACGGTTCTTAATGGGGGCAGAGGGTCATTTTGCCCCCCACACGGGGGACACTTGGCAATGTCTAGAGACATTTTTCATTGTCACAACTCTTTGGGGTGGTGGTACGACTGGCACCTAGTAGGTAGAGGCCAAGGATGCTGCTAACATCCTTCAATGCACAGGACGGCCCCACAACAAAGGATTATCCAGCCCTCCACGTCAATAGTGCCAAGGTTGTATATAGAGAGCCACCTAATAGTATTCTACTAGGGACAGATTAATTTTCTTAAAACATCCCTTTCCAAAACTGACATGGCTCCTACTGCCTGGAGAATAAAGGCTCACTTCCCACAGGCTCTCGTCTCCAATTTGTCTCCATTCTTGTCTCCTTCCTGCTGTAGCCATACTGACTTGTGAGAGCAGGTCCCCTGACACCCCAGGCCTGGAGTAACCATTCTGCTCTCCCCACTAAACCCTAACACCTGCTCCAGGAAGCTTTCCTCCAGTACCTTTCTTCCCTGTCTGGCTGACCATGGCAACCACCGGTGGCTGTTAACTAATGTGACTCCCGTGTCCCATTCCTGGAGATGCTGATTCAGTGGGGTGGGTTGGGGCTCAGCTATACTTTAAGAAGCAGCCCCAGGGGCTCATGCTCAGCCTGGTGTGGAAACCACCATGTCCCAGCATGCATCTTCATTTCCAAGTTGCTCTTTATTCTGTTACCACTTATGCACACTAACCCTTTGCGTGCACTTCCCACTTATTTTATTAACTGTACTGTCAAGATGCTGGAGGGCAGAGACCTCATACTCAAAGGGATCCAACCCAGTTCCTTGCCCTCCAGAAATTCTAAGTAATAAATTAAACTTGAATCCAGAAATTTTCAGACTTTGCTGAACCCAGGAGTCACATGAGGTACTTGTTAAAAATGCAGATCCCCAGGCTCCAATCCCCAGGGGTTCTGCCTTCTCGGCTCTGGGATGGGGCTCAGGAGCTTGGATTTTTAACCAGCTGGGTTTGGAGGTGTTCCTCAGCCTGCTGTTCTGATCCTCCAACAAGTCTAGCTCCAGGGGTGGGGTCTCAGGGGCCTCTGGCTCGCCTTGTGGAGATAAATGTTCTTTTAATTGGTTGCTAGGCCACCCCCCAGCCCCAGAATTCCGGGACACCAGGGGACACTTACACACATGCTGGCTTGTCCTCCTGCACCAAAAACCTGCAGGTTCCATGGAAGCAGAACTGACTGTGGGAATCCGGGCAGTCATTAAAATGGGACACCACAGCTGCGGCCACAGGTGGGTCTGCTTGGGAGAGAAAAGACATTTGGCTCAGATCCAAATTTGGAATCACGCGACATGCTCCCTGGCCCCTACCCCACCAGTCAAGGAGGTTTGAGCCCTGATGGCTGGGATTTCCCACCGGCATCCCCTCCTCAGCTTTCACTCGCTTTCTAAATCCAGAACCAGAGACTCCTGCATTGTGTGGTTCCCAACAGGGCTTTATTTCTTTTCTTACCTTTGTAGGAAACAAAACAACCTCTCCAAAAGATTCACTGTAATTCAGAGATACCAGAGCAGTTTTACTATTTAAAGCCTATTACCCGAGTGACCTAATTTTACTTTTGCAAAGTGACAGTGATTGCATTTTTAAGACAGCCTTCATAAAAATCTGTTTTAAAGATAAGAAGCCAGAAGAAAGGTACAAAAGAGTACTATACAGGCATGTGCCACGTAACATTTCAGGCAAGAGCAGACTGCATATATGATAGTGATCTCATAAGATTAGTACCACATAGCCTAGGTGTGTAGTAGACTATATACCATCTGGGTTTGTGAATTTTCCTCCATTTCCCAGGTTCTTTTGGCTGGTCTAAGAAACAAATTGACCCGAGACAGATTAACAGGAGAAAAACAAACAAAAGTTTAATAACGTGTATACATGGGAGAAGTCCAGAAAACTGAATAACTTGCCAAAACGGCTGAAGCCCTCACCTTCAATACCATCCTCAGCTAAAGACGAAAGAAGATGTTAGGGGTAGGGAGAGTCAGGGACTTCGAAGGGAAGAAGGCAATTCACAGGTAGGTGAAAAGGAGAAAATGGTTGGAAAATAAGTGTTTGGCCACACAGAAACAGAAGAACACAGAGGGGAGCTCAACAAACAGGCTTTTCTAAGTTCCTCCCTGTCTACTACCTACTTTGTGTTACGCTAAGGTGAAAGCTCGCTTCCTCTGACAGGTTTTTCTATCTGAATTATTTTAGGCGGTTAAGGGGGAGGTAACAGGGAAAGCTTTCTGAGTCTTTTGCTTCTTAAAAATAATCAGTCTAAAATAATCCTCATGTTAAAGAGAGATTTTTGGGTGGCAAATTTTGTTCCCCTTCAATATACTCTGTGATGTTCACACAGTGACAAAATCGCCTAATGACATGTTTGTCAGAATGTATCCCCGTCATTAAGTGACACATGAGTGTATAACCATTAAACTGATGCTGAGGAAGGACAGCTAATGCTGCAAGAAGATGTTCAATGCCATGTTATTGCTGTAAGTGAAACAGGTGCGTTTCCAATATGGTCTGTAAAGCACGATTCTACTGTGGGGGATCAGAATTGGCCACCTCAAAATGTGTCTTTTTGGCACGAGGATTATTTTAGGCTGGTTACTTTTAAAGAACTGCAGACATGGAAGAAGCTCTGAAAATCAAGTAGAAGTTACCCTTTGTAAGAGGCATTTACATTTGTAAGGGAAATCTCCATTTGTAAAGATATCTCCCTCTCTGTACCAGGAAGAGGGGGATGACCTTATCTCTAGAAACTCTTATCAATGCAGAAGACAAGGACTTAAATCTGCACAATAACCTTACCTGGTTTACTGTGCTTTTTCAGTAATCTACCGTAACTGACTCCCCCCACCCCAACATCCTCCTTTGTCTTTCACTGAAGATGATATTTAAGGTGACCTCAGCCATTTTAGAGAGTTAGTTGCCCAGTTTTCCTGGGTTTCTCCCGTGTAATCATGTCATAAAGCTTTGTTTGATTTTCTCCTGTTATTCTGTCTTATGTCAATTTAATTCATACCCCAGCCAGAAGGGCCTAGAGGGTAGAGGAATTTTTTTCCTCTCCTGTATTGCTTAAACAGAAATGTAGAAGTGAAGAAGTCTGGGAAGGATATACATGAAAATGGTAGCAGGGTTTCTCTGGGGTGGTGGGCTGAGGCGTGATCATGCCAGGAAGATGACTTAGGGCACAGAAGTCCATCTGGGAGCAGCACAGGCCATACTGGGAAAGCCATGACAGGGAGGGGAAGGCAGCAGAGTCCGGGGCAGGGATGCGTCCTCCTCACACTCTAACTCTCAAGAGCTCAGGTGTCACCAAGCACCTCAGGGTTTTCCTTCCTTGGCTCTCACACAGGAATAAAAATAGGCAGGCAGGAGCACTGCAGGAGGAACACACCACCTGACCAGCACAAAAGGCACCAGCTGGATTTATTTTATTAGATTCCAATCATGTTGTTTCGTCCAAATGACACTTGAGCCTTTCCCAAGATGGCATGATGTATACAGTTTCCATCGCTGCTTTCAAAAGGTCCTCTTATGTTGTGTTTTGGGTGTTTGGGGAGTGGGTTTTTCCCACTTATTTTTTTGGGAAAAAATATGTTCTTGGAGCTCTTGCTCTTTGAGAAAAGGCAGACTATTTCATATTATGGAGTTTTAGACCACCACTAAATATTAAACTCACCCTGCCTGCTCTCTATTCATGAATTGCTTCTAAAAGTATCCTAATTTTGGAAATCTCATAATTCCAGTGGAAAAAGCAGAGGCTAAAAATACAACAGAATCCTTGCTGTGGAAGGCGAGAGAGCGGTTGATGGTTACGAGCACAGGCTCTGGATGCAGAGACTCGGGTTTGAATCCTGCCTCTGCCACCTGGATGAAGCCTTGAGATGTCCTAGCCTTCCTCCTTCTGCATAAGATGGCGAGTCCACTTGCTCCACGGCTGGCTCTGAGGCAAAGCTTGTTAAGTACTGTACTCAACAAATTGTCTGGAACAAACCGCTCAGCTGTTAGCTCTTCTATCACCATCCCTGACCATCCCAAGACGCTAACAAATCCTCACATGTGATACCACCACTATGGTACATAATCTCCCCTTCCCTCCATAAATTCAGGGTAGTGTGTGGACTGAAAGTCCAGGTGTCCCCTTCAGCCCCTAATTATAGTTATTTTCACAGGTGAGGATGAGCAGAGACACCCAAAGCCAGCAGCAGATGTTGACTCAGGGCTGCCAGGCAGCCTTGCTCCTGGCTGCAGCACGTCCCTGTCCAGCAGCAGCCTCCAGGACGTGGCGTCCAAGTGTCTTGGCTGATTGCAGTTACCTGCGAGTCCCAGACGTGACTGGTTGGTGAATGGCTTGGTCACTCACCGACAGTGGACACTGGGGAGTTAAGTTGAGACTGCAAGGGTCTGCCGCGGTTCACATAACCGGCTTCTCCGTGCTCACTAAAGTAGTCAAGGAGTGAATATGGAGAGATGAAGGGGCGGAGACTAGTGGATCTAATTTGATTTAGACATTGAAAAAGGCTTTTGATAAGCTCCACAAAAGGCCATTTAGACAACCACTAGGGGCTGGAGGGAGTCCCTCATCAGGGCACGGAGCCAGGCTCCTCAAAGTATGGTCTATGGACCAGCAGCTTCACAGCCCTGGGAGCTTGCTGGAAAGCCGAGGTCATGGGCCCCACCACAGACCCAGTGAATTAGGATCTTTGGGGTGGGGCCCAGGAATCTGTGTGACAAGCTCTCCAGGTGATTTTTTAAAAGTCAGGTTTAGTGGGGTAGAATTGACGTACAGCACCGTTTGCCTGCAGGTGATTCTGATGCACACTGAGGTCTGAGGACAGGAAACAAAGGTGAGAGACAAAAGGCCTCTCAGAAACGTGGAATGACGGGGCCCTGAAGGGATCCTTTTGGAGCCGATCCTTCTAGCTCTTCCAGCTCCTGTGACATCGAGGCCTGAAATCTGCTGAGGTTCTCTGAGGCGAAGTGTCCGGTCAATAGAAAAAGACTCAAAGAAAGACTCTGGATCTGTCTTTTGGGAACACTATTCTCCAAAATGAGGGGTGAGGCACAGACTCGAAGCCATGGTCTCATGTGACCTGTATTTATGGATATTTTGCCACTTCTGATAAATGACGTGAGGAGGCTTTATAAAAATAAGTACCATAAAAGGGGGATGCAAATGAGAAAGGGGTGCATGTGTGTGTGTGTGAGAGAGAAAGAGAGGAAGGGGGAGGGAGACAGAGGAGACACACACACATAGACAGGAAGGGAAAGAAGGAGGGAGGGAGACAGAGAGACACACAGAGGGAGAGACAGAGATAGAGAGATGGAGAGAGGCAGGCAGAGAAGGGGAAGGAGGGGAGAGAGAGGGAGAAAGAGAGAGACAGAGACAGGCAGTGAGAAAGGGAAGGAGATAAGGACAAAGACAAGTAAGGGTAGAGGTCAAAAGAAGCAAAGAAGTCAGGTATGTGGTTAACATAGGCAGACACGCATCAGAGTCACATGCACCTGTGAAGCTTAGTGGCAAAGCTAGCTCTGTGCCTCCTAGCTGTCCAAGCAAAGATGCACACAGTTCATTGGATAGAAACGCACCCTTTCTGCACACGCAGGACAGGTTCAGCTTTGCCCGAGTCTGTGGTCAGGGAGCAACATCTCTCCTCCTGCGGTGCTTTCGATGGGCACTTCATGTGTTATGGTGGACAGCACCCTCTGACCTCCCAAAGACAATGCGGAAGCACCACCCATGTTAAATGTCTCTGTCCTTCACTTCCCATGGCTCAGTAAAAACCAAAGAGCCCAGGCAATGAGGAAACTCAATGCTATGGTCACATGACAGCAGTAATGAGCGCTGGCTTTGCTCTCTGCAGTCAGAGTCAGAGACCAGGGTGAGAACCGGGAGCCTGACGCTGAGCACTCGGGCTCCTGGCCCTCCACAATCCCACCTGTGTGACTCAACCCAAGGCACTCAGGGGACCAAGGGAGCTCAGTGTGAGTCAATGATCATGATCGCCAGAGGACAGTTTATTTTTAAAAACCTTTTTCCTAATGACAAAAGATGATACAGCACTATAGAAACCTTTTGAAAATGCCAATGTACAAAAAAACATCTTAGAGAATAA